TATGATGTGTGAGTTATTCTTGCTTATATCTGAGGGCTACATGGGTCTAGAAATAGCCGAGTCTCACTAGTAATTAAGTGTTGGCCTGTTAACCCAGTGCCAACGGGCATGACATGTCCGTGTATGCCATGCCCAACGTGAGTTTACTTGTTTAATTGTTTTTACACGTAGATGGCTACACTTGTACTAAATCACCAATGAGCCAATTAGAAGTACTGCCCGTCTTGCCCGTTTACCCTTTTCTTTGATTTGTGAAAATATTTTACGTTATCTTATAGTGCTGTAACTAATGTTTATAACATTATAGTAATTATAATGTTTATAATAAACACCATCAATATTCATAGCACTAGTAAAAAATACATTTTTCCTGCCAATTTAAATCAGGTAAGGTCACAAGGTCTACTAATTGACTCCTTTCTGGCTAAGCACTAGCAGAGCCATCTATGTGCAGAGACATTTCACAAAGAATATTAAGAATGAGCACAGGATTTTCCCCGTTTTTTATTCATTTTCCCCGGCAGCATTGGGTTAAATGATTTGTCAATGGTCATTTACAGTCCGAGAAAAGAAGCTCCTTTATCTGTTAACCTGGTCTTGGGGAGATCTCTTTCTTTCTTGTTTTCTTTATTTTTTCTTTCTATTTCTTTCCTCTCCCCTTTCCCTCTCTCCCCTCCCTCTCTCCCTTTCTCCCTCTCCCTCTCTCCCTTTCTCCCTCTCTCCCCCCTCTCCCCCTCCCTCCCTCCCTCTCTCCCCCTCCCTCCCTCCCTCTCTCCCCCTCTCCCCCTCCCTCCCTCTCCCTCTCTCCCCCTCTCCCCCTCCCTCCCTCTCCCTCTCTCCCCCTCCCACCCTCCCTCCCTCCCTATGTTACTATAAAATAATTATTAAAATACAGTTCATTTGAAGGAAAGATACTCGTGTGATGGATGATACAAGCATCGCAGGATTAAGTATATTATATTTCTTTTTGGGCAGAAAAGTATAAATCGAAAAGTTTATTTACAAAAAGTGAAAATATATCCAAAAGGTAAGATTGAGAGAAACTGAGAAAGACGACGATTTTGATAATCAGATTTTTTAAATTACATAGACCTATTTACTGTCTATGTTCAACCTGTGGTACACTATACAAATCGTTACATAGTTATTACGAAAAGCACGTCTGATCTAGAATTTGCACACCCGACGTAGAGGACAACCAGCACGGCGTGGAAAGTTTCTCAAAGGCGATATTTGTCTGTCCCGCCCCAGGCTCCTCACACTTAGGGAACGAGGGTCAGTGACAATGTCACCGTGTTGGAAGAACGATCGATTGTGGTCGGTTTCTCTACTTCTGTATAAGTATATTTCTTGTGTGAATTACAGCCAAATGTAAACGGTGGGGAACTATCTTCATGCAGTGCTCCCATACGTTCAGTTGATAATCAGAGAGTGTTAACAGACGCATATGTTATTGGCATAAAGCACTGCTATTGCAAAATTATATATCATGCATACACCTAGTTATGCATAAAAAAACTAATAGTGACACTGGTCAAGAAAGGTACTTCCCTAGACCTTGACTGACACAACATAGTCACACAAGTGGTTGACACGTCGCACACAGAAGTGACCAACATACCAACACTATGGTGACATACACACGCACAATACACACGCCAAGAGCTTCCTGCTGCACGGGCGACCTCACTTCCCCCCCACACAATGCAGCTCCTCGGTGTCATAAACCAGGAACAAAAAGGACGTGTGTTTATGGCTCCGTCCCCGTGGCTCTGGGATTCGCGCTGGCGGGGTCTGGCGGAGGTGACACGTGGGGGCGACACTACCGGTTCGTGCCGGGTGGCCTGTGGGATGCAGAGAGCAAGGTGCGAGTTATGAAATACTTGCTAATACTGGCTAAGGACACAGGAGTGCGTCCTAGAGTAGTTGGGGTGGGGAGGTGTTCAAGCGGTATGATAAAAAAAATGAACGGTAAAACATTCTTCCGTCTTGATAAACTGGCATAAAGAGGTCCACACGAAACTAACTCAGACAGGAGTTCCGATGCCCTCTTGAAAATAAATTCAGAATGGTTTAATATCTCTTGTCTCATCCTAAAGTAAACTTAATTTATTTATAGTTTTTTCCAAACAAATATGGTATTTACACCTTCACAGTACACGACAGTAAGCGAAAAAAACGAAACGTTCCATAAACGTAATTAATTTATATTACAAGAAATATATTTTCCTCTTGTCACTATCCATACAAAATACCTCATTCCTCACGCTATCGCTCTTGCCCTCACCTCAAATGCCCTCATGATCCTCATCTCCCTCATCCTTTCTCATCACCTCCTTGTAACAAGTGTGAAAGGTTAGGTCCTTTCTGGTCATCGCTAAGCTGTTTGGCGTTACAGCAGTGATTACGCAATAATCCTATTTAAGTTTATGCCAAGAATACGTAAATTCCGAAAAAAATATATAAAGCGCATAGGATAAAAACTAAAAGAGAGGCAAAA